GCTCTCTGCACAGGCTATGTGAAGCAAAATGATGTCACTGCTACTTTTACAAGGTCATATCTGGGTTTGCAAAGGCATTTGGTGGTTTTACATCCTTTGTGGCTGTTGATAAATATATTTAAATGAAAGTGCTTTTTGTGCCTGGAGGTCAGTTTTAAGAACAATCTGCACATATAGCAGAGTAAGGATAACCAGAGAGGGATCACATTGGCACAGCTGGTCAGTTTAAACGTGTTACAAGGAAGGAAAACCAAGAATTCCTTTTCTTAATGTGTTATTTGAAAGAAATGTTTTAGAGTGTATGGCAGTGTGCAAAGGGTTGAGCGTATATAACAAAGAAAAATAATGTGCCGCTAATACCATATAAACCCCACCACAAATGGCATAAAATGAAATAAATATACCAATATGCACATAAATAATATCAAATAAATGTGTAAGAGTGTAAATATGCACATATATAAATATACATAAAACAATATGCAATAATAAAACAATATATATAAATAGTGATGCACATGAGTATCTATATCACTCACACAATACACATGCGACAAGTGCCACCTACCAGGCCCAAATAGGGACCAACAATTAACAGTAGTGCCCCAAATGATCCTAAACGGTGATATACAAACAACAAACGAAAGGTCCAAAATTGGACTAAACCCAAAAAGTTGTGCTCCAACCTCCCAACAGAAAACAGATGTGCTCCAGGCACAAAAACCACATAAATAACAACCACTGTGTCATTAATATACACAGTATATCCAACCATACATAAAACGATGTGCTCAATTGTAAAGGTATAACAAATATAAAATAATTAATATGCAAAAAGTCCCGTGAGGTGAAAAAACACCTAATTGCAATAAGCAGTACAGTCCTTAAACATTTTAACCCAAAGGTGATGATAGGTGTGTGAAGATGGCTGAAATTCCCGCTCACCTCCCTGTTTCCACCCACACAGGGCCAAAACACTTTTAGGATCACTAAACCTGGATCCTTCCTGCTCAGGACTCCTCCAAAGCTCTCCACACTGTTCTCCCCTCATGTATAGGCTCATAAGGTAGCAGATCTCCTCTCCAGGCAATTAAGCAGAAAGTGGCCATTCATTTCCTCAGAAAATATGAGTGAATACTTCCATAGTGTAATACTGTGTATTCACTACTGAATATTTCAACTCCAAACTATGAAAAAAATCACGAGGCACACACATTTTACATCATTAAAAAAATTTCCCATTGCATCTGATCTGAGGTTTGAATACCAAATGTAGTTGAATTCCTTGAATAGGAATCAAACACAAAGAAATTATTTTATAATTACTTTATTATGAAATAATAAAGTATTTTATAATTGGACCCGGGGGCCGGACCAAGAGTAGATGAATGATGTATGTATGTGTCATCCACTTAAGTATAGTAATATTCCCCCATAGTAAGCATAGTAATTAATCCCCCCTATAGTAATTCATCCCCCATAGTGTTAGATAATTTATACCCTGTAGTAATTCATCCTCCATATAGTAATTCCCCCCATGTAATTCATATTGCAGTAATTAATCCCCATATAGCATTATTCATCCCCCATAGAATTCATCCCCCATAGTAATTAATCCCCCATATGTAATTCATCCCCCATGGTTTAATCCCCCATATAGTAATTGTTTTAATCCCCCATATAGTAATTCATCCCCCATAGTAATTCATTTGTGTGGGATCCCCCATATATAAATTCATTCTCAGCAGGTGTTTCATCCCCCATAGTGTAATTCATCCCCCATAGTAATTCATCCCCCATAGTAATTCATCCCCCATATAGTAATTCATCCCCCATATAGTAATTCATCCTCCATATAGTAATTCATCCCCATAGTAATTCATCCCCCATATAGTAATTCATCCCCCATAGCAATTCATCCCCCGTATAGTATTTCATCCCTCGTATAGTATTTCATCCCCCGTATAGTATTTCATCCCCCGTATAGTATTTCATCCCCCATATGTATTTCATCCCCCATATAGGTTCCCTCATATAGTATTTTCCCCCATTAGTGTGTTCATCCCTCATATAGATTTCATCCCTCATATAGTATTTCATCCCCCCATATAGTATTTTCATCCCTCATATAGTATTTCATCCCCCCATATAAAGTATTTCATCCCTCATATAGTATTTCATCCCTCATATAGTAATTCATCCCTCATATAGTATTTCATCCCCCCATATAGTAATTCATCCCTCATATAGTATTTTCATCCCCCCATATAGTATTTCATCCCCCCATATAGTATTTTTCATCCCTCATATAGTAATTCATCCCTCATATAGTATTTCATCCCCCCATATAGTATTTCATCCCCCCATATAGTAATTCATCCCCCCATATAGTATTTCATCCCTCATATAGTAATTCATCCCTCATATAGTATTTCATCCCTCATATAGTATTTCATCCCTCATATATATTTCATCCCCCATATAGTATTTCATCCCCCCATATAGTATTTCATCCCCTCATATAGTATTTCATCCCTCATATAGTATTTCATCCCCCCATATAGTATTTCATCCCTCATACAGTAATTCATCCCTCATATAGTAATTCATCCCCCATATAGTATTTCATCCCTCATATAGTATTTCATCCCCCCATATAGTATTTCATCCCTCATATAGTAATTCATCCCCCCATATAGTATTTCATCCCCCCATATAGTATTTCATCCCCCATATAGTATTTCATCCCTCATATAGTAATTCATCCCTGATATAGTAATTCATCCCCCATATAGTATTTCATCCCCCCATATAGTATTTCATCCCTCATAAAGTAATTCATCCCTCATATAGTATTTCATCCCCCACAGTACTATTCCCCCCCCCCCCCCCCTCTAGTAAGCCAAGTCCCCCGTGTCAATTCACTTACCTTTTGCGTTCCTCTCGCTGTCTTCCCGCGCCGTTCGTGTCTTCAGGGCGGACTGTGAGAGGAGCCTAGCTCCCCTCCCCTCACGTTCGGCACGCTGCCCCGCCTACACACATCCTGACAGCCACATCCGCAAGCCGGATTAAAAGGTCCGCGCGGACTTTTGGGGCTGCCAACCGAGAGGAGGCAGGGGAGCGGCCGACCGAGAGGAGGGAGGGGAGCAGGCGCCCGGCACACAGAAGAGCCGCATTAGACTGGGTAAAGAGCCGCATGTGGCTCGCGAGCCGCGGCTTGCCGACCACTGAATCATTAGATTCTAATGATTGGTCTATTTGTGAGCCGAAGCCACATGTTACAGATGAAATTGGAATTTTTCCCACGGCACACCAGACAATATCTCACGGCACACTAGTGTGCCGCGGCACAGTGGTTGAAAAACGCTGCACTACTGAATATAGCTCCAAACTAGTGTATTATGCACTCACATTTTACATCATCTTTCCCATTGCATCTGATCTGAGGTTTGAATTGACCAAATGTAGTTGAATGGGTGTCCTGGGTGTCTCAAGATGGCGTCCGACCGGAAGTGCATCACCGCCAATGCCTATCGTTACGCTACCCATGTGACTTCATCAGGGCTCATATGAGCGTATATGTTGTTGCAATTGGTCGCACCCCTGTAGCTTCGTATGTTAGATATTTATACACTGTATGTATTTGTCACTAGTACCTGTAATGCATATTGCAGGTTATTATACTTTGCATTGCATTAGGGCTCTCTAGAGACACAGGTTGCCCAAGAAGGCTGCAATGTGCACATGGTTTATATTGTATTGTTTTAAATCCAGATGTCTTTTTTTTAAATGTCCTGTGCTTTGTGTGGGATCTTAGTGAATGGAACTCAGCAGGTTTTCACCTGAAGGCATTTCTACCCAAAGCCCATTGTTTGTGGTTCACTGAGATTATTAGTTCCACTAGGAAGATACACTATACAGTACCATGTAAAGCAGTGAATGGGTTAAGCCAGGCTGACACACAGGTTGCTGTAGAGACCTTCCTTGTGTGTGTCTTGGAGCTGCCATTGTTCTACAAGGTTGTCTGGAATGAATGTACTCCTGGGGAGATAGGAAAGTAATTACTCATTGCTCACAGACACCGCAGGAGGTACTGTATTTATTAAATACTATGCCACTTTTTTATCTGTGGCACTAGTGTATTAGTAATTTTATTTATATATATATATATATATATATATATATATATATATATCAGTCTAGTAGGTCTCTGAAAAGGGTACTTTTCTTCCTGGCAGAAAGTTCACGACAGAAAATGTGAGCATGGTCAGTATTGGTGCTCACATGTACATGCATATAGAAGTGTAAACATTTGTACATGTTTATGTGTATAATAATTTCAGAATGATTCTTTTAGCTTTCAGAATTGAAGCGGATATAATCTTTAACATGAATAACATACTGACCAATGTAGCAGATTTTCTTTCTTTTTTTTTTTTTTTCTAAACACGGGGCTTGTTTACTGACATTTCCACACTGTAAATGGGCTGTATTCAGACCTGTAAAAAAAATCACCTGAATTCCCCAAAACATTTGTGTTTTTTGGTGCCTGTGTAGAAGACCCCTCAAAAGATGAACTGCTGAAATCTTTTATTATAATCAGTTCTAGTTACATGCTTTCCTTAAAGTGTTATTAAACCAACAACAGTAAAATCAGTCTGTGTATGCAGCAGGGGCAGACTGACAACTCATGGGGCCCCTGGGCAATAGGGGATCATGGGGCCCCTGTGTTCTTGCCCAAACTCAAAAAAGCCTATGAAAAAGGTACCAGGGGCATCTCATGGGGCCTCCTACTGACCCCGGGCCCTCGGGCAGTGCCCGAGTTTCCAAATGGTCAGTCTGCCCCTGGTATGCAGTAAAGCATGCTTGTTATACTCAGAGTGGAACCTAAGGGGTTAATCCTCTGCATTGTGTAAAAAATCTGATTGATCCTTTCTTTTCTGCCCCTCCTCTTGTTGAAATGACCACCTAATACAGACTGAACCCGTGGTCACATGCACATGCTCAGTTTGGTGTGTATTGCTGAAGAGTTTTTTTTCTTTTCTTGGGAGGGTGCATGTGATCAGCACAGGGCTAATCAGCCCTGTCCAGACAGAGTGTCAGAGGTTTCACATGCTCCTAGAGCAGAAAGAAAACTCCTCCTACAAGCTTTAACCAGTGCTCTGCTGAAGTCACAAGACTGCTCTAACTGCTCATGAGAAAAATATATTTAGCAGTTTATATTTACTAAAATAATTGCATGGTATAATGGATACAGGGTCCTGGGTTTAGTATCACTTTAAGGTAAGGCCTCCTGCACGCTGGACATTGAGCCTGGATGCACAAGGTTCTGGCATTTAGCTGTGGCTGGAGGTCACAGGCTCATCATTCAGCTCTGCTGTCTGCAGCCTGTCAAACTCTATGAGAGGCTGACAGCTGTTACAGATGGACAGTGCACTCAGAGGTACTTCTAGACAGTGTGTGTCCAGGGATGGATGCCCAAAACACATACTGTTTGCATTCCGGGCATCTCTCCCTCGGCTCATACTGCCCTAAATGTACATACAACTAGGGGCACTGTCCAGCCCTAGCAACCTTCAGACTCTCATAGAGTTTGACAGGCTTCCGGCAGTGGGGCTGGACAGAGTGTGCCTGTGTATCTAAATGCCAAAGCCTCATGTTTTGGGGCTAAGCACTCAATGGGCCGCACAGTGGCTAAGTAGATAGCACTACCATCTACCAGCACTAGGGTCATTGATTAAAATTCCAACCGTGGCACTACCTGTACAGAGTTTGTTTGTTCTTCTTGTTCCTGCATGGGTTTCCTCAATGTACTCCCAAAGACATACTGATAGGTAATTAAACTGTTACTAAACCCACAAGAGTAAAATCAGTTTGTTTAAGCAGTAAAGCATGCTTGTTATACTCACTGTGGACCCTAAGGGGTTAATCCTCTGCATTGTGTAAAAATGCTGTTTGATCCTGACTTCTCTGATCCTCCCCTTCTTCCAGTGTCCCCCTCTTATCTCCTGATAAGACATAATGTGGAGTCACTCTGCACATGCCCAGTTTGGTGTGTACTGTAAGGGAGGTTTTTTTTTTTTGGGAGAGTACATGTGATCAACACAGGGCCAATCTCCACTGTCCAGACAGAGGTTAGGGGTTCTGCATCCTTCTAGAGCAAAAAGAAAACCCCTCCTACAAGCTTTAACCAGTGCTTGACTAGACACTGATAGAAGTCACAAGACTGCTCTAATTGCTGATGAGAAAAGGTATTTAGCAGTTTATATTTACTAAAATAATTGCATTTCCATGTTCTGTGTACTGTGGGAGAGCAGATATAGTGAATGCAGGGTCCTGGGTTTAGTAACACTTTAACTCCTGTCTAAATTGGTCCTAGTATGGGGGATGTATGTATGGAAATAAGTTAGGGATCTTAGATTATAAGCTCCTTGAGGGGCAAGGACTGATGTGAATGCAAAATATAACTGCCTGTAATAAATAAATGTGCATGTGGCAGCACAGTGGCTAAATGATTAGCACTTCTGCCTGACAGTACTAGGGTCGTTGGTTTCAATCCCAACCACGTCATCACCTGCCTGGAGTTTGCATGTTCTCCCCTGTGCTTGCATGGGTTTCCTCCGGGTACACTGGTTTCCTCCCACACTCCAAAGACATGCTGGTAGGGGAATTGACTCCTGTTTAAATTGTCCCTAATGTATGTATGAATGTGAGTTTAGGGACTTTAGATTGTACACCCCTTGAGGGGGGACTGATGTGAATGTACAATATATATGTAAAGCACTGCGTAAATTGACAGCGCTATATAAGTACCTGAAATAAATAATAAATAAATGAGGCCAGACATCTGAAACTGCAGTTGGGGTTGAGGTCAGCAATGGGCAAACTACGGCCGCGGGCCGTATACTATATGACGGAACCTTTTAATCTGGCTCGCGGAGCTAGGCTCCCGCTAGGCTCCTCTCACAGTCCGCCCTGAAGCATGAAAATCTGTTTCCTATGAGGAATCTGTCCCCCTCGACGTATCTGCGCATGTGCCGGATCGCCGATCGGCTGCTAATGCCTGAAACTGGCACATGCGCAGATATGTCGAGGGGGACAGATCCTCATAGGAGACAGATTTTCTATATGCTACACCGGAACGGCTCGGGGGACAAGAGGAATGCGCGGAGCAAAGGTAAGTGAATTGACACAGGGGGGACTTGGGGACTTAATATGGGGGATGAATTAATATGGGGGATGAATTACTATAGGGGGGATAAATTACTATATGGGGGATGAATTACTATAGGGGGGATGAATTACTATGGGGGATGAATTACTATGGGGGATGAATTACTATATGGGGGATTAATTACTATGGGGGATGAATTACTATGGGGGATGAATTACTATATGGGGGATGAATTATGGGGGATGAATCATGGGGGATGAATTGCTATATGGGGGATGAATTGCTATATGGGGGATGAATTACTATATGGGGGACGAATTACTATATGGGGGATGAATTACTATATGGGGGATGAATTACTATATGGGGGATGAATTACTATATGGGGGATGAATTACTATGGGGGATGAATTACTATGGGGGATGAATTACTATATGGGGGATGAATTACTATATGGGGGATGAATTACTATATGGGGGATGAATTACTATATGGGGGATGAATTACTATGCTTACTATGGGGGAATATTACTATACTTACTATGGATGACACATACACATCATTCATCTACTCTTGGTCCGGCCCCGGGTTCAATATATGAACCCATTGCGGCCCTCAAGTCAAAAAGGTTGCCCACCCCTGGGTTAGGTTCTGTGACCCTTTTACATATTGCACAAGTATTGCCTATTGGAGTTTTTCAATTAGTTTGTACAATGTATGTACATATATTTTACAAGCTTGTTTCTACAATGTGAAACAATGTTTCTTCTTGGAGTCTTTAGGAAGGTAAAATTCTTTTAGTAGCTTATTGTTACTATAAGGCCCATGAAGCACTTTCAGGGATATTTTGTGAGAAGGGTGTTTTAATAAATGGCCGTGTGTTATTACAGATGGCCCTCAAACTGTGGGAATATTGCAGGTCAGGTGTGGATTAAGGAAATGCTATTCATTTTTGTAGATTTGGTCATTAAATATAAATCTGATTCTTAGGATTTGTACACGGTTTAGTATTCTTTTTATAGAGGCTGTATAATGTATAGACATATGCACAGTCCCAACTACTAAAAGCATCTGTGATGTGTCCAAATCTACTGTTTGTGCTGGCTGCTCATAGAGAGATTTAGCTTTTACCTGCAGGTTTAGTATAGTTGCAGCATCTTCAATACATGGATTTATATAAATTGTGGAATATTTTTCACTTGTACTGTCCCTTGTAGTTATGTTATACTTATATTTTTATTTCCAGTACTGAAAGGGAACTAAACTGTCTTCACTGGGGATACAGACAGAGTCAGACTCATTGCCTAAAAATTCCATCTGTGAGTAGACAGCCCTTTCCCTCCATTTACACTATAGTAGGGAGTAAATGCAAAAAGTGTGCATCCCACTTATGGTGCAATTCATTGTTAATGGCCTCTCAAACGTAGAAAGAAAATCATGCTTTTTGCATGGGAAAAATGTATGGTAACCGCTGCAAAACACATGGTTAAAAAAATGTGTGAAGCTCAAACAGGTGCAGGAGCTTTTTTGCCACCCTTGTTGCATCGGCTGGCCTGTGCATGAAGCAGAATAATGTGCAAAGTACAATTTACTACATAGTTTATGAATGGGGGCTAAGAGAGTATTAATAAACTGAGCTACACAACATTGGAACATGTGCTTTTTGTTTTTCTTTATGCTCTGACAGTTTTATGGTTTTTAGAGTTTTTTTTAAAACCCTGTGTACAGAGTGTAGGTCATATTCTGTTTTGTAATCATTTTTCACTTTTTATTCACAAGCCCTTATGCAAGAGAGTGGCAGTGTTGTTAATATGAATATGCATTGGTAATTAAGGCAAAGTCTATGACCAAGTTTACTAGAAGAATATCTTTGATCTGCTTCCTTTCTGAATGGCATCCATAGATAACAATCACAATCGCTGGCCATAGATAGTTCAGCAGGAACTGGCTGAGATGGGAACCATGTATGAGAAGGCTGAATGTACCATGTTGATCGCTCAATCAACTTGGGTACAACCAGCCTGCTGGATTTACTTGTGATTATCGCTAGTGGCTGGTATACCTGTTAGTGATAATCATTGTCTTCTTCCGGCGGGAACGTCTCCCCCCACCCCTCCGCTGAGAGAAGACAATAGTTCGGCAGGAGGGATTCCCATGTCAGCTTGGTTTGTGTTGATGGGGGAATTGTGTTAGTTTCTTTAATGCAACCAGTAGTTGGAGGAAAAAAATTTGCACTGTCTATGGCTGGCCTAAAGCAGCTCATAGATAATGCAATTTTCTTTGCTTGATTACCCTATCAACACAGTCGGTATTGATGGGGGAATCTCTCTTGCAGGGCTATTGTGTTCTGTCGGCAGGGAGCCTTCTCTGTCGACAGAATACAATGATCATTGCTGGCAGCTATAGCCACTGGCAGTAACTGCAAGAAAAAAATCAGACAGGCTGATTGTACTGAAGTCAGTTGAATAATTGACTTCAGAACAACAGCCTGCCCATAGAGGAATCGATTGCCAGCTGGTCACTGCTGAACCAGTCAAGATTCAATCCGTTTATGGCTGGTTCAACAGATGCCTGGCAGCCAACTACTTCAGGAAACTATTGATTGGCCAGGTGTGAAACCTTGTACAATCACTATTTCTCCTCCTTGAAATAAACAACATTTAGCAGAATATGTCTGCTCCAACCTACTCTACATGTAGTCCTGGTTGATATTTAGCCTGGTTCACAACCAGGGGCGGACTGACAACTCATGGGGCCCCCGGGCAATAGGGGATCATGGGGCCCCTGTGTCCTTGCCCAAACTCAAAAAAGCCTATGAAAAAGGTACCAGGGGCATCTCATGGGGCCCCCTACTGACCCCGGGCCCTCGGGCAGTGCCCGAGTTTCCAAATGGTCAGTCCGCCTCTGTTCACAACTGAGTGATTTGATTTGGTTTTCTAGAAGAGATTCAATGCTCGACATGAGGATTCCCATTGTATCTTATGGTGCCTATTCACACACACCTGAGCAGTGTGCCACTTGATGCTTGAAAAATACATGACTTTTTGTGGCATACATACTTGGTCACTAAGAAAAAAAAAGTTGCTCAAGCAAAATCTTTTTAAAAAAAAGTTCCAAAAAGGCTTGAAGAAGAGTGAACCTAGCCTAGGTTATATCACAAGTCTAAATATCGAATATAATGTTCAAATCAAGAAAAAGGAACCACCTAAATGAGACTAAATGAGATGCATCAGTGTGTAATCTTTCTATAATTGAAATGTAAGTATTCTGGGATACCATAGAATTTAGGTAGTTCCTTTTTCTTGCTATTTCCATAAAACACTGTGAAAGTCCCATTTTATGGTTCTTTTTTCTTGATATTGATTGATAGACTGTGGGTGTCATAAGACTTACTTGTAGCAAAAGTCTAAATTTGCATTTATCTATGGAAATACTTGCAGAGATTGATGATTAGGGGCATGAGATCATGAATATTTGCCTGACTACACTTCTTAGTGTATGGCCACCTTTAAAGTGGTATTACACTCAAAAACAAATATTTGTTATATTGCAGCTTACTGATTCTTAGATGTGATGGCTGCATTAGATTTCATTTTTAGGCTTTTTCTTTTTTTTAAACTAGTGGTTTTATCAGTAAGGTTGCTGTTTTTCCACAGAACAAGCTGTCCTGCAAATATAGCAGTTAGAGGGTTGAGACAAACTATTTAACACTGACAGGGGTGCTTACAATGATTTGCTTTTATTTATGTTAAACCTTTATCCCAAAAGAAAAACAACTGTTGCTGTAACTGACTAAAAAGTGTTAGCTTGTGTTTGGCTTTAATATGTTAGTGTATTCAAATCTACTAGGCCATCTAACATTCTCCTCCCCCCAGACTAACAATGCCACTCTCCAAAGGTGTCTCTGTTGCTCCTTCATCCAGAGTGTAGACAGGAAGTTTGTTACTGACCAGATCACCAGGTGGAAACAAAGGGAAAAATCCTAAGAAAATGAAAAGCAATTTAGCAACCCCCCCCCCCCCCCCCCCCCCCCCGTTCACTTCTTGCAGGTTCTCCTATCATCATGCTCTGTATATCTCTGGGAATAGGCCGGTGATGTGTCAGTTTTTTGTCCTGCTGGACATGATGGATAGCTATCCAAAGAGCAGCTATCCCTCTTGTATTG